ATGTGACCTCAGGCAAATCCACAATCACTCACACATTTTCAGTTTTTTCATGTAAAATAGGAACAATAATACCTGTTTCACCTTCTTTGTAGGGATGTCTTGATAAAAGATACTGGATTAAGGCTGGGTGCGGTGGCTCACGCCTATAATCCCAGCACTCTGGGAGGCTGAGGCAGGAGGATCACTTGAGTCCAAGAGTTGGAGACCAGCCTGAGCAACATAGCGAGACCCCATCTCTACAAAAAATAAAAAAATTAGGTGGGCATGGTGGTGCACCTGTAGTTCTAGTTACTGAAGAGGCTAAAGCAGTAGAATTCGCTGAGCCCAGGAGTTTGAGGTTGCAGCAAGCTATGTTCAAGTCACTGCACTTCATTGCAGCCTGGTTGATGGAGCAAGACCTTGTCTGTAGAAAAAAAAAAATAAAAAGATAAAGGAGGCTGGGCATGGTGGCTTATGCCTGTAATCCTAGCACTCTGGGAGGCCAAGGTGGGTAGATTGCTTGAGCTCACGAGTTCAAGACCAGCCTGAGCAAAAATCGAGACCCTGTCTCTACTAAAAATAGAAAAAACTGAGGCAAGAGGATCGCTTGAGCCCTAGAGTTAGAGGTTGCTTTGAGCTATGATGCCGCAGCACTCTACCCAGGGCAACAGCTGGAGACTCTGTCTCCCAAAAAAAAAAACATAATGGATTGGAAAATATATTTTAAGAATTAAGTTACTGTGCAAATACTGTGTGGTGGCATGTTCGTCATCTTTACAATCCAGTTCTGCATTACTGTGTAAATGTTTTCTTTTTTGTTTTCTCGTCTTTGGACTTTACTGTTTGTTTTGTATCTAAGTTCATTTAAAGCCCCTAGTAGCAGCCCAAGACAATTTTCTGAGTCTTATTAGGTTACAGTGTATGTGTGTTGGGGAGGGCACTGGTGAGCTGCATGCAGAAAAGGCTATGAAGACATTTCCAGCTATCTCATTTTTTCCCTGGTAATGAGGTCTTGATAGAAGCCTCAGGGAGGTTGGGAGCAGAGTTCTAGGTAATGGCCCTGTTGCTTGGCTGTATTGGACCTAAACTTGGGGCCCTTTCTGGGAATGCTAACAGCCTATATCCCAAAGGTGATGACTAGCAAAGAGGAGGGGATGAGCAGACCTGGAGATGTTAAAGGCACTGTGTAAATTGCTGTCATTGCCCAGTTCTCGAGGCTCCTCTCCTTCTGGAGTGGGGACCTCAGCTCTGCCTCTCGTTCCTTCTGAAACCTGCAGAGTTAGGACTGTGGAGCGGGCACTGGGGGAACGTGTGCTCCGCCTATGCCAGGGCAGGGAGGAGGGGGCTTCAAGCCCTCTCCATCTTCCTTCCCCAGGGTGGCCCCTCTGTGAGGTGGCATCTGTGTTGCTGCAGCATGCACAGCACCCTCATTATTTCTCTCTCTCTTTTTTCTCTCCCTTCCCTCTCGCACTTTTGTTTTTCTCTGCATGGTTTCTGTATTATTAGTCCTGAGGTAAGAACTGGTTGAGTGCCGTGTCCGCAGTCTGTCTTCCTCCTCTACCTGTGCTATCTATCCTGCCTGCCCAGGCCCTTTGCACCTTTTTTGTCTGGAGAGTGTCAGAAGGGTCGGGGTTGGGAGCTCCTCTACCAGCTGTATATGGCCAGTTCCACGTCCAGGCTTCCTTGCCCTTCCCACCCAGGTTCCCTTGCCCAGGTGTCTTCTCCATTCTCGTCCTTCCCCAGGCAGAGGGCCTGCAGCGAAGGCCCATGTGGGTGGGGTGCCTCCTCCCCTTCCCAACCCAACCTCACCTCCTGTCCCCTGTGCAGTGTGGAGGTCATCCGTCTGGGCCACAGCTACTTCATCAACTGGGACAGGAAGATGTTCTGTGCAAAGAAGAGGACCCCTGCAGAGGCCCGTACCACCACCCTGAGTGAGGAACTAGGCCAGGTGGAATACATCTTCTCTGACAAGACAGGCACCCTCACCCAGAACATCATGGTCTTCAACAAGTGTTCCATTAATGGCCACAGCTATGGTATGTGGCACCACTAGGGCCTGGGGTTTGTGCCTCGCCTGGGAGGATGGTGGAATTCAGGCTCCCACGGCTGTGTGGGCGCTGAGTTTTTCTTCCTTCTTAGCTAGGTCTGAGGGGCCTGTTCTGTATCCTGTGTGGATGCAAATACTGACTGAGAGCCCTCCCTTCGTCTTCCCCTAATGCCCTCCCCATGGTCTCAGCTCCAGGCCACAGGGGAGCTCCTTGGCTATTTGAAGCGAAGCCCAAGATACTGGCCTCTGGGCATCTTGGCCAGTCAGGTGGGACCTTGGCCACTCCGGTGGAGTGCTAGACTCTCCCTGTGTTGCTGCTCAGGGCCCTTGTGAGTCTCTGGGATGTGGCCATGGTCTTCCCAGCATAGTCACACTGCGGTGTCCTGTGGCTGAGCTGCTGGGGTGGCCTGGGGCGGGGGGCGGGAGGGTAGGGTTGACTTATGTGCAGAGTGTGAGCACTTCTTGCAACTGCTTTCTGCACTAACATGCACCTTATAGCCAGTGTGTGAGGCTTTCTTGCATAGCCCTAAAGGGTACAAGGAGGCCTGGGAGGCCTGTGTGGGGATGACTAGAATTGGGACTGTCCTGAGGGGCAAAGTTGCTGTGGGACTGGGGACGGGTGGTATGTGTGGCCAGAGTCCTATACTTGGTGCCTGCTGCTTCTAGCCCCTCAGCAGTGTGACTGTGCTTGATGTCTGCTCAGTGATTAGGGCTGAGGCTCAGGTGCCTGTGGAGCTTCTGCATTGGAGGTATCTCTCCCTTGCTGTGGAGATCTCCAGCTCTGACATTGCCTCTCCTTCTGTCCTGGTTGTGTATAGGTGACGTGTTCGATGTCCTAGGACACAAAGCTGAATTGGGAGAGGTAAGATCTCCTTAATTCTGTGTGCTACTGAAACAGGTGCCTGCCCAGTAATGGTTGGTGTAGTCAGGTGTTGTCTAGGCAGGAAACAAGCTGCTTGGAGAAATGGGTGTTTTAAGGAAGAATTGGGGACAAAAGTGGGAATTTTGAGGTCCACAGTGGACAGAATCTTGAGCTTTCCTACCAAGAGTTGGGAAACCAGGTACAGCCTGTGCCCTGAGATGCACCCTCGCAACTCAGCCTTTTCTAAGATTCTTCTCACTTGTTGTTCCAGAGGCCTGAACCTGTCGACTTCTCCTTCAATCCTCTGGCCGACAAGAAGTTCCTATTTTGGGACCCCAGCCTCTTGGAGGCTGTTAAGATGGGGGACCCCCACACCCATGAGTTCTTCCGTCTCCTTTCCTTGTGTCACACTGTCATGTCAGAAGAAAAGAATGAAGGTGGGCTGAGGAACTGGCTCTCTCTTGCCCTGACCTGACTGATGCCCTTGAACACTGCTCTGCTCTGCAGTGCAGCTAGGCTGGGGCTTCCTGGGTGGAGCAGGTGGCTGAGAGGGTGGCCACTTAAACCACTCATACTCTTCCTTCCTCCCCACCCAGGAGAACTGTACTATAAAGCTCAGTCCCCAGATGAGGGGGCTCTGGTCACTGCAGCCAGGAACTTTGGTTTTGTATTCCGCTCTCGTACTCCCAAAACAATCACTGTCTATGAGATGGGCACAGCCATCACCTACCAGCTGCTGGCCATCTTGGACTTCAACAACATCCGCAAGCGGATGTCAGTCATAGGTAAGGCCAGGACTAGAGTGCCAAGGGATTTGGGTAGCCCACAGATTTGGAATGGGTAAGGTGTGCTGGGGGGCTTCTGTGGACCTGTTTCGGGTGGGGATCTCTGCCTGCCTGAATTTTCCTGGGACTTTCTCCCCCTGCCCCATCACTAGTGCGGAATCCAGAGGGGAAGATCCGACTCTACTGCAAAGGGGCTGACACTATCCTGCTCGACAGGCTCCACCACTCCACCCAAGAGCTGCTCAATACTACCACGGACCACCTTAACGTGGGTGTGAGGGGGTTTGGGGCTCTGCTGCTGTCACTGCTGGGGGGAGGGGCTGGGATGTGTGACTTGTTTCATTTTTACTATATAAGTAGTTTAAATTTAGGGGATACAGTGTAGTTGTGTTACAAGGATACACTGTATAGAGGTGAAGTTTGGGTTTCAGTGTGAGCACCAGCTAAGTAGTGTGTGTTGCACCCCTTAGGCAATACCCCGCCTCCTGCAATGTGTGGTGCTTCACACTCGTGCAGCATGGTGTCTCTGCAGTCAGGCAAATTGATACACCGAGGGTCTACATATCTCACATAGTTACCTCTTTGTTTGTGTGTATGTAGTAGAAGCACCTAAAATCTACTCCCTTAGTAAATTTCCAGTATGCACTACAATGTTAAGAATTGTTGCCCAGACTTATGCAGGTGTGACTCTCTTGCCTTTTCCTCCAGGAGTATGCGGGGGAAGGGCTGAGGACCCTGGTTCTGGCCTACAAGGATCTGGATGAAGAATACTATGAGGAGTGGGCTGGGAGGCGCCTCCAGGCCAGCCTGGCCCAGGACAGCCGGGAGGACAGGTTGGCCAGCATCTATGAGGAGGTGGAGAGCAACATGATGGTATGGGCTCTAGGATGGGCCAAGGGTGGGCATTATGCCTGTGCCTATGGCTCTTGTGCCAAGGATCCTTGTGGTATTTGCAGCTACTGGGTGCAACAGCCATTGAGGACAAGCTTCAGCAAGGGGTTCCAGAGACCATTGCCCTCCTGACACTGGCCAACATCAAGATTTGGGTGCTAACTGGAGACAAACAAGGTAAGAGCCCAATAGGACAGTGGAAATTGCTTTTGGACAGTAGCCTGCTGGACTCTTGCATGGATCTGAGGACATTAAGCAGGAGAGTGTGCTGACCTTGTTGGGTGCCTATCCGTAGCTCCTGCGTTCTCTCTTGGTAGAGACGGCTGTGAACATTGGCTATTCCTGCAAGATGCTGACAGATGACATGACAGAGGTGTTCATAGTCACCGGCCATACTGTCCTAGAGGTGCGGGAGGAGCTCAGGTAACCAGGAGACCCAGGGAAGGCAGATGCTCTGCACTGTGCTGAGGGCCTGGGGAAGGGAGTTCTGGGCCCTGTTTAGGCTGGAGTCCCTACACCCTATTGCCATCCTGGAAGACATCACTTCCTGCCCACTTTCACAGAAAGGCCCGGGAGAAGATGATGGATGTCTCTCGCACTATGGGCAATGGCTTCACCTACCAAGAGAGACTTTCTTCTGCCAAGCTCACATCTGTCCTGGAGGCTGTCTCTGGGGAGTACGCCCTTGTCATCAATGGCCACAGCCTGGTGAGCAGCACCATCCTTAGCATAGTGGTATCTTTGGTGGGAGCACTTATCTATCTCCTACAACTTTTATTCTCATTTCCCCTGATTTCAGAGGGGCAGTGGGAGAAGCTGACTCCCAGCTGTCTCCTGAGAAGACTGTAGCTCTCTCCCTGTTCCAGGCCCACGCTTTGGAGGCAGACATGGAGCTGGAGTTTCTGGAAACAGCATGTGCCTGCAAAGCTGTCATCTGCTGCCGGGTGACCCCCTTGCAGAAGGCACAGGTGGTAGAACTGGTTAAGAAGTATAAGAAGGCTGTGACACTTGCTATTGGAGATGGAGCCAATGATGTCAGCATGATCAAAAGTGAGTATGGGGTGGCCAGGCGCAGTAGCTGATGCCTATAATTCTAGCACTCTGGGAGGCCGAGGCTGGTGGATCGCTTAAGCTCAGGAGTTCAAGACCAGCCTAAGCAAGAGTGAGACCCCCATCTCTAAAAATAGGCATTGTGGCAGGCACCTGTAGTCCCAGCTACTCCCGGGAGACTGAGGCAAAAAAATCACTTGAGCCCAAGAGTTTGAAGTTGCTATGGGCTTTGATGCCACAGCACTCTGCCCAGGGCAACAAAGTGAGACTCTCTCTCAAAAAAAAAAAAGTGAGTGTGGATGATACAGGTGTGTAGACTGGTTGGCTGGGTAGGAAGGGGCCCACTGAGGTCTCTGGACCAGGCAAGAATGACCGGAGGGGGCTGTAACTTGGTGGAATGTAAAGTGTGTGACTTGTCTTCACCTTCTTGTCACCTCTGTCTCTGCAGCGGCTCACATTGGTGTGGGCATCAGTGGGCAGGAAGGGATCCAGGCTGTCCTGGCCTCGGACTACTCCTTCTCCCAATTCAAGTTCCTGCAGCGCCTCCTGCTGGTGCATGGGCGGTGGTCCTACCTGCGCATGTGCAAGTTCCTCTGCTATTTCTTCTACAAGAACTTTGCTTTCACCATGGTCCACTTCTGGTTTGGCTTCTTCTGTGGCTTCTCTGCCCAGGTAATAAGCATGCCCAGTCCACTGTGGTGCACATGGGTAAACTCGTGAAGGGCGGAGGTTGCATCTGTCCAGTTCACCATTCAGTCCCCCAGAACCTGGCTGTCATCTGGTATACACATTTTTTTTTTTTTGAGACAGTCTCACTATGTCACTCTTGGTAGAGTGCTGTGGTGTCACAGCTCACAGCAACCTCAAACTCTGGGGCTTAAGTGATTCTCTTGCCTCAGCCTCCCAAGTAGCTGGGACTATAGGCACCTGCCACAACACTCAGCTATTTTTTGGTTATAGTTGTCGTTGTTTAGTAGGCCCTGGCTGGGTTTGAGCCCAGCAGCTCCGATGTATGTGGCTGCGCCCTAGCTGCTGAGCTACAGGTGCCAAGCTAGCTGGTTTTTTTTTTTTTTAATTTATTTATTTTTGAGACAGAGTTTTACTATGTTGCCTTTGATAGAGTGCTGTGGTATCATAGCTCACAGCAACCTCAAGTTCTTGGACTTAAGTGATTCTCTTGCCTCAGCCTCCCAGGTAGCTAGGACTACAGGTGCTTGCCACAACACCCAGCTGTTTTTAGAGACGGGGTTCTCTCTTTTGCTTAGGCTGGTCTCAAATCCGTGAGTTCAGGCAATCCGTCTGTCTCAGGCTTCCAAGTGCTGGGATTACAGGCGTTAGCCACTGCACCTGGCTGGTACACACATTTAAAGAATGCTTGTCAAATAGAGAAGGAGCTTGAGAACATTTCACAGGGTTCCCTGTACATGACATCAGCTGTCTTCCTGTGCTTGGTTAAAGGAAGGTTGCATACTCTTCTCTCACCCCTTTTCTCTTCTAGACTGTCTATGACCAGTATTTTATTACCCTGTATAACATCGTGTATACCTCCCTACCAGTCCTGGCTATGGGAGTCTTTGATCAGGTATGGGGGAGTTTGATTATTAAGCAGGATTGAGGGGAAGGAGTCCCACTGAAATGGTGAAGTGACACTTGTGCCCACTGCCTGTGGTTACTGGGAAAGCAATTCCTTTAGCTGGGGAGGAGGTGGCTGGTTCCCCTCAGCTACAGGTGAACAGGGATTGGGTGTACCTGCCTGAGGTTGGTTCTAGCTGCCAAAGACTTTGGGAAGGAGGACACAGGGCAGAATCTGCCCTTGGTCATCCCAAGTTAAATGGCAACTTCTGAGGCCTCCTATATCATATGGCCCTCCCCTCACAGGACGTCCCAGAGCAGCGGAGCATGGAGTACCCTAAGCTGTATGAGCCAGGCCAGCTGAACCTCCTCTTCAATAAGCGGGAGTTCTTCATCTGCATTGCTCAAGGCATCTACACATCCGTACTCATGTTCTTCATCCCCTATGGGGTGTTTGCTGAGGCCACCCGAGATGATGGCACCCAACTGGCTGACTACCAGTCATTTGCAGTCACTGTGGCCACGTCCCTGGTCATTGTGGTTAGTGTACAGGTATGAGGCTGTCCAGGAACTTTTCCCTGCTCTAGAAGAAATACATCTCCTGTCCCAGGGGCTCCCCTGGTCCCCCATTTCTTCTAGAGGGGAGAACAGGGTTATTAGTAGATGGCTTTGCCTGACTACACCTACTTTTTTGCAGATTGGGCTGGACACAGGCTACTGGACGGCCATCAACCACTTCTTCATCTGGGGTAGCCTGGCTGTCTACTTTGCCATCCTCTTTGCCATGCACAGCAATGGACTCTTTGACATGTTTCCGAACCAGTTCCGGTTTGTAGGTGAGGCCCTGTGGCTTCCTGCTGAATCGATGGGGAATTGAGACTGTTCTGGGACTGGCAGGGTGGTAAGCCAGTCTGCACATCATGAGCGTTTGTTTATCCAGCACTCCTGATGTGCACTGTGTTCAGTGTGGTGCTATGGAGATGTCAAGGTGTATTTGAGGGTGGTGCCCGTGGCTCAAAGGAGTAGGGTGCTGGCCCCATATGCTGGAGGTGGCCGGTTCAAATTCAACCCCGGTCAAAAACTAAAGGAAAAAAACCCAAAAACGTGTATTTGACCCAGGCCCTGCCCCGAAAAAGCTTCCATATCCATGAAAGTGAAGAATGGTCCTGCCAGGCCATGGGAGGCCAGAGGTCTGAGGGCATCAGGGGTTGGCAGGCTTTGTGGTCAGCAACGTCACACTGGTGGGGTGGCCAGGGATGGTTCTTGAAAGGGAGTTTCTGTGAGTGCAGCCATGATAGGGAGGCAGCTCCAAGTTGGAGAGTGAGAGGTACTTCTGGGGACTGGAGATGCTCCTGCTGAAAGGGGGTGAGAGCCCCCACTTAGCAGCTGGGAGAGAGGTTGGGGAAGTAGTATATTCCAGGTGTTAGAAGGCCAGGCTGTCAGGGTTGCGTTTGACTTGCCAGGAGTCTTTTAGAGGAAGAGGTTGTAATCAAAAGATTGCTTTAGAAAGATGAAGCTAGCCGAGAGAGTCAGTGAGGAAGCTACTATAGTAACCAAGCGTGAGGCTGCTCAGGACTGGTATCAGGGTGGCCATGATCGGTAGCAAAGAAGGGCTAGTTGGGAGGTGTGAAGTAAGAAGAATTTACAGGTCTTTCTATTTGCTTCAGATGTGTTTGTTCGTTCATGGGCATCAGCACCTTCTATGGATCCCTGTTACTCTGGATGCCAGGGATGCAACAGTTACCAGAGCAGGCAACATGCATGTCTCCTGGGTCTTATGTATGGGAGAGACAGATGATTTGCAAGTAAACAGATATAATGTCTGGAACTAATAAGTCCTATAAGAAACATCAAGCAAGGCCACGTGTGGTGGCTCATGCCTGTAATCCTAGCATTCTGGAAAGCCAAAGTGGGAGAATCCCTTGAACTCAAGAGTTTGAGACCAACCTGAACAAGAACAAGAGCCCATCTCTACTAAAGACAGAAAAATTAGCTGGGCTTCATGGTGGGCCAGAGGATTGCTTGAGCCCAGGAGTTTGAGGTTGCTATGAGCCAGGCTGCCACCCCAGCACTCTAGCCCGGGCAATAGAGTGAGATGTTGTCTCAGACAAAAAAAAGAAAGGAAGAAACATCAGCAGTGCCTGTGGCTCAAAGGAGTAGGGCACCAGCCCCATATGCTGGAGGTGGCGGGTTTAAACCCAGCCCTGGCCAAAAACTGCAAAAAAAAAAAA